ATAAATGAATTCATTTTTGTTCAATAAATATACTGTCATTAAAATATGTTCATTTTGAAAAACACAGAAACAAAATTATTTTAAAAAGTACAGATTATGAAAGCAATGAGTTGACAATCTAAAATAGTTTGTCACATATGATATTTTATTATATGATATGATTAATATCATATTTGTAAATATGATGGTTTCATTATAAATATGGCGTTTATCTCTAAGGTGGACAGCCAACTTAATATTATTAATTAATATTTCAACAAATGTATAAGTGAGTCATCTGTTTATTATCATGCCTCTCTTTTACATTTTCTTCCATTATTGAAATATTTTAGCTTTAATTACCTTGAACAAAACTCAAAAATCATTAAGACACTTGTTTGAAAATATATATTTAATAATTTTAGAGGCAAGTTTTTGTGCAATCGATTGGTTTAGAGAAAAATAAAAATGAAAGGTGCATTTTACCCCGGTGCGTCTCTAGCCCTGTTGAAAACTTTCCATTAATTAAGAACCAGTACTCAAATCCCAACCTTGTTTAGCAACATCTCTCAGAGCTCCTCTAATGCTCTGAGGTCCATTAAATATCAGTTAAAACCCCTCAGCTAGCACATGTAATGGATTCACACAGTCGAGTCAAGCTTTTGGATAAAGTAACGCTTTTGTGATTCTGCTTGATCCATCAGGCTTAGTAATGGGTGAGACGCCTCATGCAACGAAGCAGACGCACTTCCTTTTTCTCGGAGATTCTGTGGGAAAATGACGCTAATTCATCTCGGCAAGCATCCGCAGTCACTCAATCCAAACGGCAAGAGTCAATGGAAGAACAAAGAGAGAGAGCAAACAAACAGACAGCAGAGGAAAAACGGCTGTCTGCCGGACTTGTCAACTCCCACTGTCCAGGAACGCCTGGATTGGTCTTTAGCATCGATTGATGGAGGCCAACTAGGGCCTGGATAAAAAAAACAGAGGAGAGGTGAGGATCTTTACCTCTTCAAATGACAAATACACTGCATTACTGGGGGAAATGAAAGAATACAGAAAGTGGAGAGATACTAAAAAGGGGCTTTTCAAAATATTAACTGAGAGCGAGGAAAAAGAATGAAAATATCTGTAAACATTTTTTCCCATTTAGACATCTGGTGAAAACTGAGACGTGGACAGATTTGTCCAATACATATATACTGTATATCCCCCTCAAACTGATCAGTGCTACCACACTAATGGTGAGACGGATCACAAAACTTATCATGGGTCCGTGGTTTGATTAAAGTCAATTTTATTTTAAAATGTGCTACTTTGTCTGGCTCTACTTTAGCTGCCGCAGCCTCTCTGTAATCACCATTCAACTCAATGTCCCATCCATCTGATTGGTTACACCTCACGAGCAAAAGCCTATCAACACTTGCGACACTCTCTGTGTGTCGAAAGGACGGCAGCATTTTCAGCATATTACTGAAGCGGGAATAAACATCACAATCTGATTTTCTGTTTTTATAATGACAAGCAGAGTTAGTGTCCCAGTCACACCACTGAGAATGGCTCATACGGTGTTACACTCAATTGAGGCTAAAGCAAAGGTTTTTTGATTACTCGTTCACTCTTGAGCATCTGGTGCGAGTGATTTCAATGTTAAGTCAATGTAAAGATGTATATATATCCTTTATTTATTTTTTCATTCTGTTGAATCAGAAAGAGTATTCCATTATAAAAATGTAGGAATTACATACTATGGAGGATTTGTGACATCAAACGAATTCAGAGGCAGCACTTTATAGACACACTGTTTTTAGTTAGAATACACCGGAAAATGTGAACAATAAGACTGGAAATGTTAATTAAGAAAGGAAATAGTTTATTTTGAATTCATGTCGACTTGTTCATGGTCTTAATGTTCAGCCGTGTGTCGTTTTCACGTCGACTGGCGTATATTTTGAATTGTTTTCAATGAGCGCCACGTTTTCAAAACGGAAAGAGCGTAACGAGGCTTTGATCATTTATTTTTTCACGCTGAAACGCTGCGTTTTTTACAGGTCGCCGAGAGTTGAAGAATGTTTAACTTTGGGCAGCGCATTATCACTGTCACTTTTTACCCAACCGTCCAATCGCAGTGGAGGAGGGGCGGGACTAATACCGCAGCGACCAACCGCCAACATTCTGCTTGTACAACGTCAACATATGACAACAACATGCATAATAACGGAACAAAATTATTTAAAACAAGATCTCAGAATCAACTCCAAAGAAAATATGGGTGAAATGAGATACTAGTAACACTTTTATATTCCGTATCATAACAAGCAAAGTGCCTCAACTGAAAAAGATGCTGCGCTGCCAAAACGCTCTCAAGCGCCAAAGCTAGGTGTTTTCTGCAGAATGCCTAGCGTTTTCACCTGGCTAAAAAACGCTTTGGTGGACACACAACCTTACTGATTCATCAGTTCACATTATTTAAAAAAAAAAAAACTTTCCCTCCAAAAAATGATAATTTCCACCACAACTATTTCCCCCAATATTGTAATCCATGTGGGTGAAGCAAAACAAAATGAATAAATAATATTTCCTGAACCAATTAAGTCCCAAAGGATAAGCTCAAGCCCTGTCCTACATTGTTTCCCACTGAATATTCAGCTTCACCTGGAGATTTGTCACATTATAGAAGTCAAATGCTCTGCAAATGCAATTTCTTGTTGTCTTTAAGCAGTAGACTATAAAAAATGAGGGTAGCTCAATGAGACATTAAAATAATCTGACAGGACCAATGAGCCCAAGCTTAAGTGTGTCCCATTTACCTCTAAACTCTATTTTTCCCTCTGAATTATCTGTCTTCATTCCCTTCCCTATTGCATGCGGCGTTCATCTTTTTCTGCCCTTCTCTCTCAGTTTTCCTCACAGTATAAATCTCCCTGTTTTTCAACCCAGGCCTTCAGCTCTTTCAATTTGTCATTTTCTCCCTCCAGCACCTTTTCTCCTCTGTGATGTGCCCTAAAACGTCTCCTGGTTTTCGCAGCTGTTGTGGTGAGAGCTCAACTCAGCAGAAACACGGGTCCAGAGAAGAGCGGTAGAGCACGACTCAGCGCTTCCTCAATCATCCCTCCGTAGACCCTCTAACCACACACACACACACTGACACATAGAGATATATCACACCTGCCAACTAGGACTGCATGAAACAAGCAAACTAGATAAATAAATAAATTATATATCGTAAATATTTGATATTGGGTCCCCATAAAGTATGGTCAACCAAGACACACACAACTCTCATCCCCACCTACACATATCCACAGTCATACCTGGAATGGTCCGCTGGGATACATCTCAGCATCAGCCTTCCTCCATTCAGGCCCCTGGTGTCCAGAGAGGGTCCAGACAGCAGAGTCCACAGTGGCGATGCTCTTCACCCTCATCAAAACATTGAGTGTGCCTGCGGACACACACAAACCACAGCAGAGTTTAGTGGAGCGGATCGCTTCTGGTTCTGGACTTTAGACTTTCCACAGTAAGTTTAGTCCACTTTGCAGCCTATCTGGCTGTATTAATATAGTATAACTTCATGGTAAAAAATGAGGCTTACAGAACATTCATGAAATTAAAGTCTTATTCTACACATTCGCTCAAAAATCACAAGAAGACTGAAAACAGTAGATCAGTTTTTTTTTTTTTTGAGAAACTCCATAATCTCCATCAATCAGACGAGATGATCAAGAGATGCTCTTGCTATTTTTCGGTGCAATAAAATGATTGCTTACAATCAAACAATATGATAGATCATTGCTTCGGCACTAATAACACCCCATTGACCCGCCACTGGTGTCAGTAGATTATGAGACATTGCACAAACCCGGATTACACTCCTGTGACGGTCATAATATAAGGTCAAATACGTGACCGTTGATTATCTTACCACCACAGCACGATGCACTGCACTGTAATAATATATTGATGGTTTAACTTAAAAAAGTAAGTAACCTGGTTGACTTAAAATTTTAAGTTCATTGAACTGGAAAAAGTGAGTTAATACAATGAAGGAGATCAATTTAACCATCAGAAACTCAAAATTATAAGTTATCTGAACTAAATAAATTATTTAGGTTGATTTGACATAAGAAAAAATGTTGTGATTACTAAACTGTAAAAAAAATATTGTTAATTTAACTTAAAAAAGTAAGTAACCTGGGTTGCCTTCAAATTTTAAGTTGATTAAACTGGAAAAAGTGAGTTAATACAACCATCAGAAACTCAAAATAAGAAGTTATCTCAACTAAATAAATTATTATAAAGTTGATTTGACAAAAGAAAATATGTTGTGATAACAAATCTTGAAAATATTTTTAATATGCAAATCAAAATACTGTAAAATCAACACTGTCTGGAGAAACAGGATGTGACATCATGATAAGCGTATCTATATTCATCAGACGGTCTGTGAACACAATGAGTGTATCACTCCATATACAACAAAGATTATGAGAGGTTTAGTGTTAATATGAACGTCAGTATTGAATCTGTCAGACACTGAACACAAACTCTCTCTCACATACACACACTGATGATTGAAGGCAGTGAAGCCAAGTGGCATCTTTATGACTCATGCATTAAATTATTACTCTCGCTTTGTGCTTAACGGAAACCAATATATAATTCAGTTGCACTTTGGAACAGAAAGAGAGAGAGAACAAACTTTTGTAGTGCCTCAAATGAAGCTCTGTCTCTGAACGTTAACACACACACACACACACTAATGTTTCCAAACTTCCACATACGCAGCTCACGACATCTCACGTAGAAGATTAAAGCAGACGGGTCCAGACGACCAGCCAGGCTTCACATCGTTACTTATTCAGGAACAGCAGATATGAATGAATAACACAAGAGAAGTGGCACACAGAAACATTAACAAAGCACACAGATGGTAGGTACTGTGACAAAGTGGCCTGTTCAAAGTACAAACCACATCCTAATAAACTCATCCAAAGCTGTCTGAACAATCTCAGCAGACACTGACCGCAAATACATCAATCCAGGTGCAGTTACACAAATATTTACAGTCTTATGGCTGGTACACACAGAACAAAACGCAGAGACGCAGGTCAATGTAACAGAAAAAAAACACAATGTCTAGAGGTGTGTTCATAAAAAAAAAAAAAAAAAAAAAAAAAACCTTGTCAGCATAGGTTTACGCAAAAACGTAAGTTTTGATGCAAATCGACCCGAGTTCGAATACACCTTTTCCCAAACTCGCTCTACTCCCTTTTCCCATCACATATCAGATCAGAAAGGCATTTATTTTAAAAAAAAAAAGAAGAACATATTTTAAAAAATGTGTATAGTTAAATTAAATAAAGTGTCAAACTTGTGTTTAATAATAACCTTTTTATCAGTTAGGGGTAGATGTAGTTAGGGCGGCATCCATTTAATAATTTAAAAAAATATAATAATTTACACTGTTATTATTGGATACCGTTGTGCAACAACACTGATGTGAAAATAGTATCTGCCAATATGTATAAATATAAATAGCATCTAACTACTATTTACACAAAGAAAATACAGTTATTTGCATACCGGTAGCAGACACTTGGATGAAGAGACATTATGAGAAATGTCTTGAGACTATGTAAACTGTTAAGCTCAAGCTTTAAGTATTGAACAAGGTCATACATCTGAATAATGTCATTATAATACTGCACCTCAAGCAAAAAAACATGTGTTTCTTACACCATATACGGCCCTATTTTAACCATCCAAGCACATGGTCTAAAGCGCACATCAGCGTAAGTGCACTTACAGCAAAAATCCACTTTTGCTAAATTAACGACGGGAAAAATGGTCTGCGTGCCCAGCGCATGGTCTAACAGGGTTGTCTCTATTCTCTTAATGAGTAATGTGTGTGTTTTGGGTGTAAAGTGTAATAAACCAATCACGGGTGCGTTTCCCGAAAGCATCGTTAGCCAACTATGGTCGCAAGTTGGTCGCAATTCCCATTGAACTCTATTGGTAACGACGGAACTTGCGACCATGGTTGGCTAACGATGCTTTCAGGAAACGCACCCCAGATTGTCATCTGCCATTTCCTTTGCAAGCCACGCCATGGTGGATTCGCTATTTACATGGCATAATTTGCAAATGGAAAGACTGAACGCTTCTCTGGCGAGGAAACGGATCTGCTCGTGCGCAAGGTTAAAGTAGGTTAAAGTTAGCCGGATTCCACCATATCTTTATGTACACAATATTAATCTTTTACACAGTAATCCTTTTATTTGGCTTGTTTGTCTGCTGCTGCGTGTCTCTCTGTGTGTAATAATCAGAGTGTAAGTGTGTAAGTATTGCGCCACAAATATTGACTTTTCAAAATAGCAAGGCACCATCAATGCTCCTGAACACACTTCGTTTTCAGACTATGAAAAAAATCTAATTCAGAACTATTTAAACTACCACCTAAAATTCAATTTTGTTAGATCACACTTGCAAATAATTCAAATTTACACAATTCAAATTCAAATCATTTTTTCATATTATTAGCTCCATACAAACCAGCAGCCCATGGGCGCACAAATAGGCGCAAACGCATTTGCAATTTAAACAACGTTGTGCTGGGGGTGAAAATGATAACTGCGTCGGGCTGAAACTAGCAAAAAGCACTAACGTCGTGCCTGGCGCTGCATTGCACCAGGTTTATGATAGGGCTGCATGTGTATAATCTGAAGTAACCATTCAGTACCAACTGTGTTATGTACCTCCACAAGTAGTTTTTATCTTGAGGGAGAAAAGGTCACTATAATAAAGTCCACATGTGGCGTTGCTTTACAGACATTACACTTTTCAAAGCGATTCGAAGAAAATCAGGAACAGGAATGCTGTGTTGTATCAGAACCCCTCTGCCTTGGCTATAAAAGCATCTGCCACGTTTCAATGGCCTCAATCACGGCGAAGATGTGCTCGTTGGGTGATAAAAAAAAACTGAAATTGTGTGCTGGTGCATCTTTAAGGTGATTACACACACTCAACACATAAACCATTGTAAAAAAAAAAGTCAATTAAAAAAAATGTACCAGGCAGATAAAAATGACTCTTGCGCAAAGACCTTTAACATAAACGGCTAACCAACCCTTTAAATTAACCGTTGTGCCTGTGTATATGGACAGAATCTACTAAAGGCCTAAAGCCCTATTTGCACGGTAATCGTATTATCTGGGGACCTCGTGTGATTTATAAATTACCCCGCCACATACTGAAGCCTGTGATTTTACTCGAATTTACCAAGTTATCTCCCGGATATGACGTCAATAGGCTATTGCTTGGAAATTTCTTTACATTAAAGGTCTAGCTGTATGATATATTATGACGTAAACACACTCTAAAAAATGCTGGGTTGTTTTAACCCAATTTTGGGTCAAATATGGACAAACCCGAAATGTTGGGTTAAAAATGTAATGTAAAAATTTAACCCAACGGCTGGGTTAGTCCATATTTGACCCAAAGTTGGGTTAAAACAACCCAGCATTTTTTAGAGTGCAGATAAAGTTCCTTACATGCTGCTTACATGTCATTCATCTTCATCTAATCATGCTTTTTGTTTTTTGCTCTTCTGATGATTTTCAGCTTTTACTTTCTGCAAATTACGTAGTTGTGTATAGCGATATGATCCAGCACCAAAAATACTATCAAAACACTCCAAACCAGCCTCCATTCTTCGCGAAAAATGGATAAAAAGGTGCACATGAAAAAAATCTTGAAAAACTGATATACGATTTGGCCAAAACACACATTTAGCCCGATTCGCACAGGACTAATATTATCTCATGACCTCGGTGATCGGCGAAATGCGAATAGGGCTTAAGGCTTCAAACGGACCTCTGTGCTGTCAGACACAACATATCCAAGCATCAGAGGCCCTTGGCTAACCTTGACACAGGTCAAACACAGCCAAACACTCATGTGTCTTTGTAATGAGCAGAAGATGGAGGTAGAGCAGGAAAGCTGGACGGTGGCAAGTGATTTTAAACCATGTTCAAACCAATGTATACTTCAGTGTTTGCTTTCTACATGATGTTTGCTTTCTTGAAAGCAGTGTTATTATGTTAAAGGGATAGTCATCATTTACTCACACTTGTGTTGTTCCAACTCTGTATGAGTTGCTTTCTTCTGTTGAACACAAAAGAAGATATTTTGAAGAATATGGGTAAGCTATAACTTCCATAATATATTTTTTTTTCAACTATGTAAGTCAATGTGGTCCATCAACTGTCTGGCTACTGACATTCTTCAAAATATCTTCTTTTGTGTTCAGCAGAAGAAAGAAACTCATACAGGTTTGCAACAACTTGAGAGTAAATGATGACGAGTAAATGATGATGAGTAAAGTAAATAAATATTCATTTTTGTGTGAACTGTCCCTTCAACTAAAATATTTGTTAATTGAAATAAAATAAGTTTACTGAAATTTTAAAAGATTTTTAAAAAAATATAGAGATGAAAAAACATTCTAACATTCCTAAACATTCTATAGTTGCCTTGACAAGAATTTAACAACCCTGTATCACACATGTAACGTAATTGCGATTTGCAAAATAGTTTCCTCAGAACGTATTTCGTGTGATACATAGTTGGAATTCAAGTTCAAAAGACTTCCTGTTACTCATTAGGAGAAGAATTTCTTTTTAAGTTGACTCTAATTGGACTTAATTAGTTCAGTTAACTTGAAATTGAATGTGATAGGTTTCTTAAGTTTTTTTTTTGTGTTTTTGTTTTTTTACAGTGTCATTAACTTATGATTTGTGATGTAGCTGCTGTCAGATCCAATACAGCTGGGCTGCTTCATCGTTCAACAAAAGTTTCTTTGCAAACTCTGATGCGCGAGACACTGCAAAAAGATGTCTGTATAGTATGTTTAAATTGAAAAACGTTTTTTATTTTTTTTTATTTTTGGGTTTTTAAAAGTTGCACAGTAAGTTTCAAATGTAGTACCTATACAGTATGCGATTTCGGATGCAGCGAATTAATACATACAACAGTTAGGGTCCATTCACACAGAACACGTTTTGATGAAAAAAGAAGAAAAAGTGAAGAAAAAAAAAAGTTGAAATTTGAACTTCTTTTACCTTGAGCAAAAACAAAAAAATATGTTTTTTAGAACCTATTTTATATAACATATAACATATTTTAGAACTCCATCTAGTGAAGAAAAAAATAAAGTTGAAATTTGAACTTCTTTTACCTTGAGCAAAAGAAAAAAAAAGTTTTTTAGAACATATTTTATCTAACATATAACATAATTTAGAACTCCATCTATGCTGCAAAAGACCCCAGACGCGAAAGCAACAGTTAAACAGGTCCATCTAACATGCGTTTGCATTGAAAACCAATGGAAAGCAGCGCAGAAATGTATTCAATGTGAATAACCCCAAAGTCTGAGCAAACAGGCCATTCATTCTTCTATTACCGAATAAAGTGTGTGCATCACTAAACAACAACAATGACTGACAAAACACCATGTCAAGCCACTGCTGTCACCCACTAACAGGAAGGGTCGCGCTGTGAAGTGTAATGAGTGAAGGATCTAATGGACTGACTTGTGCTGTGAGTGACTTCTGCTCTAATGGATCCACTGGCTGGACAACTCTCATTACAACTCCTTTGTAATGAACTTCAAGCCTAATAAAGTTACGGTCTAATAGAACATGCTATTGTGTTGGTCTTGGTGAAAAATCGATTCGATTAGATTATAGTCTCAACAGTGTGGAGAGGACGGGGATTGATAGAAAAAGACAACATGAAATCAAGTTTGACTATTTAAATGACGCACTTTCAGGGGTGCATGTTAATCCAATGCATTAGCCTAATAGCACCGTGTTTATAGTATCTAATCAATCCCGTTAAACCCTGTCTATTTCAAAGAGTAACACAAAATAAAAAAATAAGATAAATAAACAAAATTTTAAAAAAACAGAGGAAATTAGAATTATTATTATCATTTTAAATTTTTGCAACTAAAATACAGCAGATAAAAAAATAAATAATGAAAAATAAAAAATAAATAAAAATATTAACAATAATAAGGATGACTAAATAATAAAAAAACAAAAATGCAACACTTAAAAGAAGAGAAAAATAAAAATTTTAAATCACTATTCAAAACATCAACTGAAAACTCTTTCCCTATAGTGTATTTTTAGTCGATCATTTTCACAAAACGTCCATGGTCCCCAGAATATTTTGTTGTATGAATATCTGAACATAATATATATTTTAAAGAAATCACAGTCCTAAAGCTCATCCTGGGTTGACATTTCATTCAGTAACCTTAGGCAGTTTTGATGTATATTATGTTAAATGATCAAGTTACCATATGCTTCTATCTTTTGTTTGTGCTTATTACCCTCTACAGATAATCCCATCCAGATATGCAGAGAGGGAATCTCTCTGTCTCTTTACTAATAAAGATTCATTGATCCAGTCAAGTAATGCAAAGCTTTTTAAAACAAATACAAGCCTCCAGATAACTGAATATACTCCACACATACACAGAGAGAGAGAGAGAGAGAGAGATCTTAAGATGTGATCAAATCTGTCTACACACAGGTGAAGATCATTCAATTTAATCAAATAGCTCAAACATGTGAGCATAAGAGAGCTTTTTGAGATTTTTTTCCTAATCTTTGAACGGTAGTGTACATTTTATTGTTGTTCTGCAAATATCGCATGCTGATGTTGCAACCAAGCTCTGCTGAATCTAATGGTAGTGTGGCTTAACCAACGCAGAGCTAATCTCTTCAATTGCTAATTGGGATGTAATCAAATCGAATGCAAGCACAGTGGCGCAAATAAAAGTCTAAACTCTCATATTGCTAATGAGGTTGTAATTTATGGCCAGCATTGAGCGGCTAACACATTCCTACACGTTAAGATTGCTAACAGGGACGTCTGTCTCTCAGTAGGGCGTCTCATGTAATGAGAGTCGAGCCAGCTGTGCCTCCTTCTCAGTTTAGCATCTGTGCCCACAGTGCCGCCCACATGCCAATGCTAATGATTAGCAGATTAGTGCACACAGACAGTAATCAGCAGATATATGATGCCGACATCCAGACTATAACCGATAACTGCGACCAATCACGTGAAGGATAGAGATGAAAACCGTTCAAACCAGCCTAAACTGGTCCATGGTCACGCTGATTATGCCAGTCTGCTCTGATGGTCTTATGAGGGTTTTGGACAGGGAGATCAGTAATAGACAAGTAGTTTTTTTTCAGGCAAGGTTTTGAAGGGAATTACAAACCTGCACACATATATTCAAATGCACATAAGAATAGAATCAATTCTTAATGAGCATTTGAACGTCATCAGCGTTTATCACAGGTTCACGTTTAAAGTCTGTTTAGAGACATTCATACTGTATACATTTTTACCTTACAGTTACTGTAAATCTGGCCTCTAGTTCACAAACGCCAGAGGAGAACTGGCCCCCGACTGAGCCTGGGTTCTCCAAGGTTTTTTTTTTTTTCTCCATTGGGTCATCTGATGGAGTTTTAGGACACCATTGGGTCACCTGATGGAGTTTTAGGACACCATTGGGTCACCTGATGGAGTTTTAGGACACCATTGGGTCACTTGATGGAGTTTTAGGACACCATTGGGCCACTTGATGGAGTTTTTGGACACCATTGGGTCACCTGATAGAGTTTTAGGACACCATTGGGTCACTTGATGGAGTTTTAGGACACCATTGGGTCACTTGATGGAGTTTTAGGACACCTTTGGGTCACTTGATGGAGTTTTAGGACACCATTGGGTCACCTGATGGATTTGTAGGACACCATTGGGTCACCTGATAGAGTTTTAGGACACCATTGGGTCACCTGATGGATTTGTAGGACACCATTGGGTCACCTGATGGATTTGTAGGACACCATTAGGTCACCTGATGGAGTTTTAGGACATTTTTAGGTCACCTGATGGAGTTTTAGAACACCATTGGGCCACTTGATGGAGTTTTAGAACACCATTGGGCCACTTGATGGAGTTTTAGGACACGTTTAGGTCACTTGATGGAGTTTTAGGACACCTTTAGGTCACCTGAAGGAGTTTTAGGACACCATTGGGTCACCTGAAGGAGTTTTCCGGTTCCTTGTCACTGTTGCCTTTGGCTTGCTCAGTTGAATTAGCTTCAATTAATTAACCAATCATTAATACCCCCTATCAGCTCTACCAAAAGTGGATGTTTTTCCACTAAGAAATGAACATTTTAAACGAACATTTTAGATGTTTTGATTGATACTGTGAAGCTGCATTGATACAATCTATATTGTGAAAAGCGCTATATCAATATACTTGACTTGAGAAGATTTGCAGATGCAAAAATGAATGAATGAATTAATTAATAAAATATCACACTTTGTCGTTAACATGTTGCTAAGCCATTCGATTCATTTAGATATATCGTGCAGCCATATATACAGTATATATATGTATATACTGTGTATATATATATATATATATATATATATATATATATATTAGGGCTCTCAGTTAAACGTGTTATTAACGTCATTAACGCATTAACGCAAACCCGCGATTAACAGTCTTTTTGTTGAAATTAATAGGACAAAAAGAAATCAAGAGACATTTAGAATAGATAAAAATGTGTGATTAATAATATATATATACTGTAGTAGCAAATAAAAATTGCTCTAAACCGGCAATTTAAAAGCAGACAGAGTCAAATATGATGGGTTAGAGAGCTTTAGTAGACAGCTTGAGTATGAGGTTATGTGCATGCATGTACACCCTAGGGTAATTTTGATCATGATTAATGTGATTCGCCTTTCAATTTTAATTTTCATTAAGGACCTGCTGTCCTCACCGAATCCTAAATAGCAATGGAATTAATAAAACATACCCTTTGAAATATACAGTGAAGGCCTGCAGCAGGGAATCCAAAATGCCTTTGGAAAGCCGAACAGATTGAAGTGTGTTCTGTGTTCACCAGTCGCCCCCCCATCGCGAGCCCTGCCCGTGACATGAGTGGCAACTGGCAAATAATTACACGGGCTCGTCTCATTAGAACAGGAGACAGACAGCGGAGACGCACAGGTAAGGAGAATGAGGTGGAGTGAAAGTAAAAGCAGACAGTCAGAGAGAGAGAGAGAGAGAGAGAGATGTAGTAGAAGAGGAGAAAGAGAGAGAGAGAAGCACAAATTATAAGCCGTTAATGGGCTGATAAAGTTTGAAAAGAGAGCGCAGATAAAAAGTGAGGGGAAACAGTTACTTTCACTTACTTTGTCAAGCTGAAAAATGAGGAAAACAACATAAACTTTTGGTCCGCTGTCGAAATTTAGCTTGAAGGACTTTTCTGTGATAAATTCCTTACATTAATGAGCAATTAAAGTCTGTGAGTACAAGTGTGTGATATCAGGGTGTTACAGATCTTTGAACCCGATCAAAAACACCCATTAATCACTGTTCATGTTGCATTTTCTTTTTAAATTATAACATTATTTACTGTTTTATAAGTTATTTATGCCTTTGAGGTCGTAATAGAGAGGTTTTGTCAGATTGAGCTTACTTCTAGGGACAGTTTTGTCATCAAATCAACAAACATTCTAGAAGGCTCTGCTCCAAAACGTAGTCTGTTGTCTAATTAAAAAGCATTTTAAGCAATTTAGCTTTTCAAGAGACCTTCTCTTAGTGGCCGTTCACACAGGATATGTTCTTGCATTGAAAAGCCGCTAAAAACAGTGCAGAGGAATGGACCACAACGTCTCAAAGAACATTTTTAAAAGTTGAACTTAATTTAATGTGACATGGTGTCTAAAAAAAGTGGCAACTGCATCAGATGCCCACTTAGCACATGTTGCCATAAAACAACAATGAAAATGTAGTATAGACGGATGATAGAACGTGTCCTGTGTGAAAGGCCCTGAGGCAGTGTCACATGTTTCCTTAGCATAGAAGATAATTCTATAATGCATTGTGACGAGTGAAAAAAAAGCGAAGCGTATATAAAATGTTAATCTAATTACGAATTGACTATTCTAGCCAATGTTTGTGTCAAGTGTACACTTTTAGAATTACTACTGTGTGACGCTGATGTGTGGGCACTTTCCATGTTTTTTACACTCTACAAACTGTATGAAGAGTTCAGATGCAAAAGCCTCTAAATGCCATTTGAAATTTTCTTCTTTAATGATGATTTTTATCAAACTTGTATATATAAGTTCAGTAATTTCACTTAAATAACAATTAATAGGTAATTATCATTGCCATTTAAGTGAAATTACTGAACTTAAATATACAAGTTTGATAAAAATCATCATTAAAGAAGAACATTTCAAATGGCATTTAGAGGCTTTTGCATCTGAACTCTTCGTATATTCTCTTTACACTAAGACTACCCCTAATCCTACCTATCATAGAAAACTTTCAGCATTTTTACATTTTCAAAAAAAACGAACATCACTTGGCATGATTTATAAGCTGTTTTCCTCGTGGGGAACAAAACATTTCCTCACAAGGACAAGGATTTTGGAAATTGATATCTTTGTCCCCATACACGCCACACACACGACTGTCTTGGAGCAAAGAGAACAGACAGATGTCACTTTGAAACAAACCTTAATGATTTAACAGTCACGATAAATAAGTAATGGATGTGTGGATGACATCACCTCTCTGTCCTTCACTGTCTTTGACCTTCTGGTGAACGCTACTCATAAAGCACTGTACTTTCCTTGACAGATTCAGCTCAATGCTGCGGTAGAGGAGAACGCATTTCAAGACACAGCAAACTCAAGTTAGAAGCTGAAGTATATTATACACGTGCAGGGAAACGCCATCCTCAAACTTCCAACCTGTCATATCGAGACCACTTTGCACTACCCAATCAATTCTCCATGAATGCCAACAGCAAAACAACAGGTAACCATAGGTTTCAAAATCGAGAATTGAAATATTTGATGGTGCGAATTCAGACTAGGGTTAAAGGCTCACCAATATGTTTCCCGTTCATGTTGTAGTAGAAGGAGACACAGTATGGGGTTCTGTTGGTCCCCGTCGGTCCTCGCGCCGCCGTCACATTGTACAGTGGAGAGAGTAAACGAGCCCGGTCCCCGGCCTGACGGGGCCGTGACGTCTCAATGTACATGTAGAAACCTTTATTGTAGAAGGAAAGTACAAAACACATGTTACCACAGGGTTTTTCAAAGAGGGCAGGAGCATATAAAATTAAATAAATAAAAATTTAATTTAAAGTAAATGTAAAAAAAAAAAAAGTATTAAATAAAAAAATAAATAAAAAAATAAAATTGTTTTCAAGGATAGAAGTGTGTCTTTCCACAGAGTTTCCACTGGAAAAATTCTTTAAAAGGTACTATGTTTAGTTTGAAAAAGCGCTGTTAAAGAGGGTAGGAGCAAATAAAAATAAATAAATAAAAATTAAATTTAAAATAAATGTAAAAAAAATATTAAAAAATAAATAAATAAAATAAAAAATCAATCAAAATCATTTTTTTTAAAAAATAATAATAAATAAAATAAATAAATAAATAAAATTGATTTCAAGGATACAAGTGTGTCTTTCCATGGAGTTTCCACTGGAAAATTCTTTAAAAGATACGATATTTAGTTTGAAAAAGCGCTATTAAAGAGGGTAGGAGCAAATAAAATAAAAAAAATAGAAATTAAATTTAAAATAAATGTAAAAAAATATATAAAAAAAATAAAAAAAAATAATAAATAAAAAATATTAAAAAATAAATAAATAAATAAATAAATTAAATAAATTGTTTTCAAGGACACAAGTGTGTCTTTCCGCAGAGTTTCCACTGGAAAAATTCTTTAAAAGGTACGATATTTAGTTTGAAAAAGCGCTATTAAAGAGGGTAGGAACAAATAAAAATAAATAAACAATTTATTTAAAATAAAAGTAAAAAAAAATATTTAAAAATATACATTTAAAATAATAATAATAATAAATAAAAAATAAATAAAATTGTTTTCAAGGATACAAGTGTGTCTTTCCACTGTAAAATTCTTTAAAAGGTATGATATTTAGTTTGAAAAGCGCTATTAAAATACATTCGAATTGAATAGAAAATGTTTCTTTTCAAATGTATACACCCATAATTACTGCGATAGTGTGTTGGTGAATGAGGGATGTAATTTGTGTGTGTTTTTACCTTCTTTCGTCCCACTCCTGTCCGTATCAGGCCCTGTATTAACCGACCGCTTTGGATTCTGGGTCAGATGGTTCTGTCTGGTCCAGTCAAACACATCGCTGCGGTCTTGAGTGAACCCACATATCCTAATATCCTCAAAGCCACACACTTGATCTAAACACACACAAAAAACATGAAACAGATTTGAGATTCACCTTCCTAGTTAATTGGCACTAACTGCATGTTATGATTAAAGTACAAAATAAAAAATACTCTGCGTAAGCTCATGAATGCAAAAATGTGATAATACTTAATATTAAAATTTGTTTAAGCACAATTGGACACTGTAGCAGCCATTAGCAAAAACGGTATGCGCCGTTCAGGTCAAAGATTGTCCCAAATGAAGCATTGCAAATGGAAAATCATATGGGAATTGAAGTGCAATATACATCAGAGTGATTGTGGGTGTGCAATCTGAAGCTGACATTTGCCTCATAATAGCGCAAAAATGCAGCTCAATCTGTTAAGCACGGGCAAGCACTCGCACCTGCATTTGCGTTCTCGCATAAAGTATTTTTCTGGCCTCATACTGATGGGCAAATCTAAGGAGAAAGTCTGCAGGTTCTGTTCTCCACAGGCTCCTCTAGAGAACTGAAGTACTCTCAGCACTGCAGCGTTCACAGCGATTGATTACCCTCATTTAACAAACACAGAATACTGTAGTTCGTCACCCAGGACGTCTCAATTCACACTTTGAATGGCTGATTGACTCATGACTCATTTTCCATGTGTGAGAGAAGACGGAGCGAATGAATGGAGAAGAATGCAGGATTTCCATGTTGTGGTTTGAAATCACCATTCTCTTCCTTCCACAAGCATCCAGCTCTTCAATTTACTCTGCTGATCTCCAGTCTGTTTTAATTTATGTTTTTTTTTTTTTTTCTCCTCTTTGTAGCTCTTTGGCAAAGCTCTGTGCTTATGCTGCCAGGAGAACTGTGTTGAATTTAATTGGGAAGAACTGAAAGGCAGGGCAAGCGTCAGATGGGAGGACGGTTTAGAGGAGAGAGAAAGACAACACGCACAACAGCATCATGGAAAGAAAAAGTAAAGAACTGTCTTACCTGAAGGTCTTGGATAAGTGTAGGCTGCAATAGAAAAGAAATAAAGATTATTTAAATATATATACATATACATACAAACATACATCACACAAGGCTGTAAGATACAAAATATTACATAAAAACGCTATATTTTTCAGCCTTTCGACAAATACTCAATACATATACAGTATATTTTACAATATTTATAGAATTCCTCAAAAATAGCACTATATATAATCTTGAACTATTTTTGAAACAAATTATTAATTTACTATTTTTAAATTTGAAATTAGGTTAAAAAAATGATGCAAGCAATACAATCTGTTTAAAAAAAATAGTTAAAAGGCACTGTTTCTACACTTAATAAAAGGTGGTATAGGGTATAATTTTCCATTATAGAGACAAATATAAAAATATGTAATGTAGAACTAAATAGCATAATTAACAATAATAAATCAATAAATAATATTTACATCCCAATTTTTTTTTTACCAAACATTTGGATATAAAATAAAACACACACACACACATATACATATTAAAATTTCCACATATATATATATATATATATATATATATATACATATAGTAAGTAATGTAATTAGTAATGCATACAAATGTTTTTAATTAATGTGTTTTATCATCTATAGATATTTAATATTATATTAAATTTGGTAAGATATCTAAGTATTTATTTATTGCTATTACCGAAACAAATAAAATAAAATAAATAAATTATATATATATATATATATATATATATTAGGTAATAGCAATAAATGAATACTTTGATATCTTACCAAATTTAACATATAATACAAAGTGTATACTTGTGTATGAATTGTTGTGTGTATCACAGAAGGGTTTGATGTCTTCCAGCTGCATTTATTCTGGAGTTTGGACATTTTTTGGTCTGTTAAGGGCAAGTGCTGAGATCGGGAGTGTAAGATTGAAAGACTATCCAATGGGATTAGATTCTATCAGCCGTTTCTGACTGGGCTCTCGCACTGAAACCGCTGGCCTGTTCCCGGCGTTCTGGAGCCATCAGCAAACCCAACACACGATGGCTGCCATACTTTTGACATCTCAATTTAACATAATCCCAAAAGCGAACCCTCGCATTTGAAATGCATGACCTCTGTTGATGGGAATCATGAGGAATTTAACAATTCTGGCTCAGATTCCCATTCCAACTAGCCCAGCTTTGCTTTGTGCTATAAAAATATCAAGATGTCAAAATTAAACAAGATTGTTGTTTTCCTACCTGAATGTAAAATATGAACTTTCATAATATGAAACTTTCCGTGAATATGATATTGCAGATACAAAAGTGAATAGATACGAGGAGCCTATAAGTGACATCTTGCATGCAAATACCAAATGACATGCATAACTGTAAGGTGACTTACGTTCGGAGTACTGTATGGTGCGTGTGACCGTGTTTCCGGTGCCGTAGTTAGTTATGGGAGTAAGGCTGACCTCATACGACAGGGGAATACGCAAGTCCGTCAGCGTGTAGGACATCAGCACACCTTTCACTGGCTCTTTAGTGGTGATCTGCTTGGACAAAACCATCTGCCGGCCCTGCAACGAAAGAAAAGGGGCTTGAATCATCATATCATGATTAAATGATATCTCAATTAGTTACCATTTATACTTGTCTTGACATGAAATTATACACTACAGTTCAAACGTATGGGATCGGTAAGCCTTTTAATGTTTTTTAATGTTAATGTTAATGAAAGAAATCACGTATGCTCACCAAGGCTGCATTCATTTGATCAAAAAGCATAATTTTTTTCTGAAATATTATAACCATTTCAAAAATCTATTTTCTTTTTGAATAATTTTTCAAATATACATATATATACGTATATATATAATTTATAACATTGAAATGAATGCATCACTGCTGAATTACTAAAATCTTACTGACTCCAAACTTATGAATGGTATTGTGTATACATGTATTAGTACAGTTTTATAATTCCACATTTTTGAAGAAATTATTGTTATGTGTTGATGTCTTTTGTGTTTCCATCTGTGGAGTAACTCATACCATAACTAAATACTTGTTTGAAAAAAGTTGCATTTAAAATCACTTAAAAAATCATTAAGCTTTGAAAATATGGATGCTACAACACTGATGTCAAATGTTGCACTATTATTATTCCTCAGCTGTTTTTTTTTAACAGAATCACCCAACAATAACAAATTTCATATAGCTGTGTGTCTCAGTCATAAGTACACTGTAAAAAAAAAAATCTGTTAAATTTACGGGAAAACTCCGGCAGCTGTGGTTACCAGAGTTTTCCTGTTAAAAGTACGGTAGCAACATTTTAGGTTTTACAGACTTTGACCGTATTTAATTTTACAGCAATAAACCATATTTCATTATTTGATATAATGTTAATTTACTGACATTTTGAAGTATTAATATCTGTTTTGAGTCAAAAGATCAGCTCTTCCACAAGAGAGTTCTTACTACTATATAGAAGCTGCACAGTGTCATTCACACAAACATTAAACACCATCATGGTAACATGTTGAAATTTAAAAAAATGAAATAAGAATTAATTTAACAACGTTAAATGTAACATAAAACCCTAATGAACATAACTGATAAGAAAAAAAAAACAGTTAAAATACATTAAATGTACGTGTCACGCAGGGAATTGTGGGAAAGTCAATTTACATTTTTTTACTGTAAATTATACAATGACTTCTTCTTTTTCACTTCCAAAAACTGTAAATTTAACAGTATTTTACAGTAAAACTACATTAAATGTACCATTATACTGTATATATCACAGTTATTTACCGTATATAGTAAGGAAACTTTCTGTTAACCAATTAACAGTTTTTCACTGTAGCATTTTTACAGTCTTACTGTTAAAATCACAATCATTTTTCACAGTGTAGAGCTGGCATTATTTTGGATTAGTAACTATTTCATGGGGGGGGGGAGCAGAAGTAGAGGAGGAAGATGGAAGAAACTGCAATATGTCAAGGGATACAGACATTCTCTCATCTTTTTACTTTCATAAGCATTTTCCCTTTCGGTGAGGAGGACAGAAGATGTACGCTGGACACTTGTTGCATCACACCCAGTGTTGTACATCTCTAACCTCCACAGAAGCACAGAAAGGCCTTCAGTGCAATGATTTGCTGAGTGCAAGGTCAGCTGGTATCCAGCCACCCTGCAGAAGCTTTCGCAGTCTTTCCTCCGGCACAACAGCAGTGTGCTGACTAAGAACACTTGCTGAAACAGATCAGCTTGTCATCTCTGCTTTGGCTTTCCCATGGGATGTCTCAAAACGCCTCTGAACGCTGCTGGGTTTAAGGCATTTCTAAAGAAATTTTAGCGAAACAATAGCATTTTATGTGTGTGGGGTGTTTGTTTTTTGCCTAAGCTTTGTGATTCCCCCTTTAAACGTATTGATTCACTTTACAAAAAGGCATTTAATAGCAGGTACTACTACAAGTTCAAACACTAGCAAACTCTTAGCTCTTATCTAAATAAAGCACTGCACTCTTATTATTATCAATGTTGAAAACAGTGCTGCTTAATGTATTTTTATTTTTTGTGTGTAAACCATGCACTACCATTTAAAGGTTTGGGGTGTAATATATTAAAGTGGTCATGAACTGGCTTTTTACATTTTATTATATTGTTGTCATGACGTTCGCTTGGTTTTTGCTTTCAAAAACATCCAAATGAATAAGTAATAGGCTATTTTGTACCCTAGTGTTGAGCCTAGCTGAAAAACGCTGGGTTTTTATGGGCGCCTCGCACTGAAGACTTGGAAGTAAACGCCCACTGCTGTGAGTGGATAACAGTTTTGCATATTATAATGAGTTTCGAGTCGGTGCACTTGGGAGAAATTGCTCTGAAAACGTCCAATGTTGTAAAATGGCAACCGGAATGATTCGCCCATACATGTTCGACCCAGAGTCCACCTTTCAGATGCAATATAGACGGCACAACATACTCTTAATCGGTCTGCAAATCCAGTCTTGTTTACAAAACAATCCTCAGTGAAATGAAGCGAACAGACGCACAATGTTTTACCCTCATCAGCTGGAACGTCATTAAAAATAAAGTTTATCATGCAGTCCTATTGGAATCCAGAGGAAGCTTATAGTTCAGCTTCTGATTCTGATTCTGTATTGCTCGGTAGTTCGATTCGGTTTGTCATCACGAGGTAGGCATCTATGTTATTTATCTATGCGTGTAATGCGAGAATCGGTGGGCGGGGCTAAACCGGCAGTGTTGAAGTAGGCGTTGATCTTCTTCTACGTGGGTGGTGTTTTATCCTCTTTGACGTCATAGTTCCCCACTTTGAAAAACGAGTCGTTTTCAGAGGCTGGTGTCAATAAAAGCTTTTATTGGACTAACAAGGACGTTTTTAGTTCTGAAACTTTGAGGATATTCTTATAATATGATGACCTCTGAGATGTCAAAAGCTCAAGGAAAATTTGATTTGTAATAATATTTCACGATATTACTGTTTTTTTGATCAAATAAACACAGCCTTGGTGCGTTTAAGAGATTTCTTTTAAAAACATTTAAAAATTGTAATGTTTCCAACAGTGTTGTAGTACTCGAGACTCGGACTCGTCTCGGACTCGGTCTCGAGACCATATTTTAATGGTCTTGGTCTTGTCATGGACTCGTGTCCATTTGGACTCGGAATTGACTCGTACTCGAACATTTTTTTTTTTTAAGGACTCGGAATTATTCCCGAGTCCACTCGAGTTCAATTCAAAATATTTTTCATGATTACTAATGTATGTTAATAAAATATTTCTTTAAATTGATTCACTGGGCGTAGTGATTGGTGATTTTATAGATTTTCAACTGCGCATGACAAATTGTAATAAAATTACTTTTAACACCACCTACTATGTGGCCTTTTTACCCTAAACTAATCATATTTTTTAAACTCTAAGTAAATTCAGTTAAAAAAAAAAAAAGAAAGGATTTCTCTAAGTAAATAAAAGTAAATTAGGTAATCAACCCTCACTGGTCTCGACTCGGACTCGACCGTCTCTGGTCTCGGACTCGATTCTCTATGGACTCGGTCTTGACTCGGACTCGACTCTCTCTGGTCTCGGTGTCGACTCGGACTCGAGTGAGGTGGTCTCGACTA